TGGGTTTCAGCTGAGTAGGCGGCTCCCAGCGCTTCGTGCCAATGAAGGCTTCGCCTTCCGGAGGCACAGCCTCCCCATCGGCAGCGCTGCAGATGTGTGCAGGGGTCTGGGGCCAGCAAATCCATGGGGGAGACTTTTTGGGTTTTGCAGAGAGGAAATGTTTTCCCCCTTGTCCCACCCTGCTGTGCAGCCCTAATGAGGTTGCAAGGTGGGATGGGCATAGGGTGGGCAAACCCCAGCCCATGGGACTGAGCCACAGAGAGACTCACCCTCCGCCTTCCCCTGCCAATACCACAGTGACAGGGAATGAGCTGGAGTGATGGAGGTGTAACCCTGTGGACAATGCCCTCTGGAAACCACATCACCCTTTCTTCATCCACTGCAAAAAGCCACCAGCCAAGTGCAGGGACATCAACAACTCTGAGGGGTGGCCTGGAAAGAGAAGGCACCAGCCTGACTTGCCCAGAAGGGCTTGGCTTGGGGACTGTAGTGGTAGATCTGAGGACAAACACAGCAGTTGCTAAGTTGCTTCCTCCAGGTGAACATCTCCTAGTGTGTGACACCAAGGCTGAAAGTGTCACAACTTCAAAGTGCCCACCTGAGTCCCTACTGCTCTGAAATGCAGCCTCTCCCTCTCCCACTGGGGCTCTCACTGCAGCCACACATGGTACCCAGCAGCTGTGACACCAGGACCCTCCAGTCTGGGTCCCAGCAGGCAGCACCAGTCTGGGAGGACTCACCCAGCACCTGGAACTGGAGACCCGATGGGATAACCAGGAGAGGAGCACATCTCCTCTGGCTGGGGGTGAAACAGCCCTTCCATCCTGCCCCTAGCCCTGAATTTCTCTGCTCCACCTAATGCAGCTCCTCAGTTTGGAGCAGTCACCACCTCCTCCTCGAGCACAGTGGGCTGGGAAGGAGCACAGCCTGACTGACACTGTCCACCTCGTCCAGGGAGCAATGTCACCGTAAAAATCAACCCTCTGCCCCCACCCCTATTTCTAGGGCTGGCATCTCCCCGTTTGGCTGACCAGGAGAGGAGAATGCAGCCCCCCAGACCTCAGCAAGACATCGCACAGAAACGTGCCAAGCCAGGGGAAGAGGGATCCACTGTGGATCAAATCATCCACCCTGAGAAACACTGCTTGGGGCAGGAGGAGGGGGCCAGAGGGATCCTATTCCCATGGAAAGCACAGGGCTCTTTTTTCAGTTATACAAGATGAAACCACAGGGATATAAATGTCGCTGCCTCTTTGAGAGCATTAATGAAAATAAACCCATTTAATAGTTTGCAGATGCCGTTTCTGTAAACCTAAAAAAAGCAGGGAATAAATATTTCTTCACTAAATATCTATATGTATATATATATTTGAAAACATTTGCTCCTAATCTAAGGGCCCCTCCTTCACCGTGCTCTTGGCAATTTATCACAGCTTGTCAGTCAATGCTGAACTCACCGAGACGAGATACAAATTGCACCCATGGAGGGGTAGCAGGACCGAGGGATTATTGTAATCTAAGCTCCCTCTCACCCTTTCTATTTGTACATTTCAATTACTTGTAACAAGATCCACAGTGGATTTTTTTTCTTCTGCATGTCTGTGTTTTGGAAATTTTTGTAAGGTTTTTGTAAAAACAACTCTTGTGAAATAATGGAGGAATAAATATTTTACTGAGTAGAGATGTGTCAGTGCATGTGACAGGGACCTGGCTCTTCCCTCACCAGTCATCGTGTCCTGGACAAGCAGCATTGGCAGGGGACCAGCTGCCCTGGGCATCCAGCCACCTTCACCTGGGCTGATGGTGGCATCTCACAGCTTCTCCTTGAGACATGGATTTCATCCCAGGCTCCCAAACAAGCAGTCCATATGCCCCAGGAGTGGGGCAGGAGAAAGGAGGGAGTTTGGCAAGACCCTGTGGATCTGAGAAGGGGTGGGGGGACCACATTTCTGCAACAGAGCTGCTGCTCTGGCTTGGGGATCCTCGAGCTGATGCCTGAGGATGGTGGAAACTCAAGGGACACAGAAAACAGCCTAACAAAGGTTCCTGCATAACAGCTAATTGCAGGGCCTTTCCAGATCTATCTTATTTCATTCTGAGATAATGAGTGTGGGCTATTGAGGAAGGGGAGTCAGAGAAGAGGGCTCTTTGCTCTTCCCCTTCAAAATCCCACCAGGAGTGGCAGAGCTTATAGGGTCTGCCCTGAGCAGCTCACAAACTCCCCATGAAACAGCAGCTTACATTAATGCTGGTTCCAGTTCATCTGGTGGCTTGGGAGCACCACCCTCATTTCCCCACAGCAGCAAGGGAATTGGCTGAGATGGGATGAGGCCAGGAGCAGACAGCAGAGCTCCTTGCTGCAAGGTTGTCAGGTCAAATCCAGCATTGTAAGTGGGGGTGGAAACCTGTAAACACTAATTGATGCTCCACAGACCTCAGGCATGAGCATCTGTTACAGACCTCCCATCCTCCTGGGACAAGTGCTCATCCATGGTCCCAGCAGAGACCACCAGAAAGTTATCCCACATCCCTGGGAGCCGGAAACAGGCAACACAGAGGTCTGGACCTGCTCAGAGAATTGGAGGCAGCGGAGAAATAAGGAAATAGTCTCCTATGCCCTCACTGCAGGAATATCCAGGCACTCAGATGCTGCTCTGTTGAGCACACAGACTGAGTAAGGGCTGGGCACTACAAACACTGGGAGCCCAAATCAGCACCAAATCCAACTTTTCAGGCTCCATGCTGTGCACCAAAGAGGGCATTAACCTGGTGAGCTGCATACTAGACGCTGATGGGGCACACAGGCTGAGGAACTGAAAAGATGGGAGCTGCAGGGCAGCCCAACCTCACTGGGAACTCAGCAGAGCCTTACAGTTGAGTGGATTTTCAAGGAGCCAGGATTGGTATGGGATGCTGTGAGCAGCATAGCTCCTGGAGAGAGCCATCCACTGGGATCAGAACAACATGTGGCTTCCTGGGGGATTTCTCTTCCAGATCTACAGAAACCGAGCAAAGATGCAGCAAGAAGGGTCAGATTCTGCAGACAACTAGCTAAAAGAAACAAGAGGATAGGAATAAACCATCAGCCCTTGGTTTGCAGAGTGCTTTTGATGGAGCAAAGGCCCACAGATGCAGGGTAGGCACAGGGCACCCAAAAGCAGAGGGAAGCAGTGGTCAGGCAAAGGTGATACCAAATAGTCTGGGGCAGCCAAAGTTAAAGAGAGCTCCAGGAGCTCAAGGTGCTGAGCTGTAAAGCAGCAGAGTTAATGGAATGCTGAGAGGTGTGAGGATGTGGCCAGGGAAGTCTGCCCAGTGCACACTCAGACACATCTCAGCTTTCCCCAGAGGGGAACAAGGCTCAGCCCATTTCAGGAGCAAGCCCCCATATTGGAAATCACCCCAGCCACAGTCCCACACACTTGACCATCCCTATCAGACTGCTCTGCTCCTGCTTTGTAACCACATATTTATTCATTCAGTAAGTGGCTTCTAGATCATTAAGGTCATTTGTCCAATGTCTTGCCTAGAGAATATCACCCAAGCAGCATCTTTATGTCCTCAGCATGTGGCCAGTGCAGAGCATCCCTTTGGAGGGCATCCAGCCCCAAGCCAAAAGCCCTTTGGAAGTGAAGAGCTTGCAGATCCCAGGGCAGATTCTTCCAGTGACTCATTACTGTTGACTGCTAGAAATATGTCACTTATTTCCTGCCTGAACTGTCCCAGTTTCAGTTCATCTCCCACTAGAGCAGAAGGTCTCAACCCATGGTCAGCCAGCTCCCAGGAGCTGATGGATATCTTCTGAGGGGTCTGCAAACCAGGAGGCAGACAAACGTGGAGACCTGCAGCTCACCTGGCAGGGTCTGCACTGCACATGGGAGGGATGTGCTGAGGGAAGGCTGAAATGAAGGGGAGTTCAAAGGCATTATGCTACCTCTCCTTCTCTTCCAGCACAAGGGCATTTTTCCTCCTAGGAAGGGCATATCCATCACCAGAAACAATTTCTGCAGGACAGCTGGTCTCCATCCATACACCACAACTTCAGGAGAGGGGGAATGTTACAAGGACATTTGCAAATTGTGTTTCCTTCCTCAAAGCAGTTGGTTCTCAACCAAGTGTCTCCCAAATGGCAAGTCTCAGCTGATGGGAGGATCTCCCTGGACCCCCTTTCCTTGTTTCTGACCCCACAGCCCAACACTTTCTGACTGATGAAAAGTTGACATTTGCCCCTACGATGTTTTAATGAGAACAATTTTGTATTGTCATCAGCATCAGCTGCCACGGCAGCGAGACAAAACAGAGCTCACATTTTCCAGCTCGCAGGGACACCAGCCTGGTTATCCCCATCCAGAATGAATTACAGACATCTCGCAGGAGGATGTTGTCATCCTCCTCTCCCGTTATCCTTGAGCTGAGCCCTTCTCCCTCTGGTGGCAACGGAAAGGTCCAGAGACCCTTCAAGTCCTGCTGCCACTACTTAAAAGCTGCAAAAACACAGGTACCTATGGCAGCAACGTGC